CCCCCCCCCCCCTCCCCCCCCCACACCTGATCCCACGTGATGAGACCAACGAAGATGTAGAACAGCCCCCTAGCCGGCCAATACTTGAGGAAACCGAAGAACTTGGTGAACTTGCTCCACTCCAGCTCGGCGAAGATGATGAAGATCGAGAACAGGATGCCGTACACGCGGAGGAGGATTCCGCGGGCTGCAAGGGGGAGAGGTTGCGGGGGGGGGGCGGGGAGAGACAAGAACAAAAAAAAATGCAAAACAACGGGATGAATATATTGCTGACCTTTCCTAGGGGAGAAGTAGGGGCAAGTGGTAGATTTTGACAAGCAACCAGCACAATTTTTCCCCCGCGTGGCGGCAGCTATTCTACGGGATGGGTACGCGCGGTTGGGAGGTTGACGAGTTCATCGAGCTCCGACACCGATGAGGACGGGCCTGGTGATTGCAGAGTGGCCACGTGGAGGATTGAGTAGTTCCTTGCCGTTGCTGTCAATCGCGTCAGCAACGAGCATACCAGTACACACTAACATGAAAGACTTGTACCCGCTTGAGATACAGCGGGGGGTAGGCCAATAACGCTGGTTGAGTAGCGCCGGTGGCCCTGCGTTTAGCCGGTGAGACTGCTATTGGGCACCGACTGAATCGCCAAGTTGTTCTGTGCATTGGATAGCGCCAGTCCATGGGCCAATGGCACACACCGGTGTTGAGGGCCCTCCACTGTACTTTGTTAAGTCGAAGGGCGTGTGTTCAAGCTTTTAGATCGGTGATACGTATACACAAGGAAGGTTTGGGAAAACAGAGGGAAAGAACATCAAGAGGGCTCGGAATACTTCGGGGAGATGCGCGAGAGAGAGGTGGAAACCTGTGCCGGGGTCTTGCGAAGTTTACGAGGGGCTTCTTCCGGTTTGTGCACAGCGCACGGAATTTTGTGTGCACTTGTTTCGCGTCTCACCAACCAGTTGGTTGCTCGCATCTCCTCAACTTACCGTACGACCTTGCCTCTCTCATTTGAAGAGCGCCGGCAGGAAGCTACACTGCTGTATTGTAGCAGAACAATAAATATTGAACTATCGGAGAGATGGCACACCCGTGTTAAGGGTTATTCTACAGCGTACACATTTCTCCACACTGCCGAAGGTACATAGTTCTAGAAACATCTCGTCGAGGGCTTTCCCGAGAGGTATCGCCTGGTGTTTTCGCCCGCCAACATGCACAACAGTTGTGGAGAAATACGCTTGAAATAGCAAAACGCAACTATGATATAACACGAGAGTGCCATCTCTCCCGGCTCTTGGAGCGGTTTTTGGAAGTGAAATATTGTAATAATACGGCTGGTTCAGCCGTTCGTTCTAGACGAGAAAAGTCCAGTACCCAGCCGGTTTTCCTCCACTCACTGAAACGACTCCACCACATCCCGTTCAACTGTGGATATACCTCGAATGGGTAGTCTTTCTGTGGGTGTATTTATTTTTCCTAAATCCCGACACGAGAAGGGCATCCGGTATTTTGGTGCAAGACGTAGGAAGAGGGGCCTTTCGATTTGGGCAAGCGAGCACCTAGCATCGAACCACCAGCGGACTACAGGTTCAGGCAGGGTAACCTGCAAGCTCATCCAGTTGGCCTAGACGCGCAGCAACCTTTCAGTCGTGCAATCCCGCTGGCGAGCAACTCCATTAGTACAACAACCTAGAGTAGTGTTACACCTGGGTATCAGTAAATGCACTCATATCATTGGTCAGCGCCCAATTTCACCCCGGTGCGTCCGAAAGGCGCAGGGGATACCCTGCCGTGACTACTTTTCTACCCAGGTGTGTCGCTTTTCGACCAGGGTATACCCTGTTGTGTCGTTTTCCTTTCTTTTAACCGTCGGGGCGTCGAGTTGCCATTTGTCCTTCTGTCTCGCGTCGATAGAAAACGAACCACAACATGGTGTTGGGCTTTGGGAGTGTACATCAACTGCAGCCGTGGGCAGCAGGCAGTGGGAGGCCATGTGGCAATCGTTTCAAGAAGTTGCACTGCTGTTGTCTGCCCACACTGCTGCTGCTGCGGCGGTGCCGGGTTTGCGCTCGGCGAGACGGCACTCCAACAGAGCAAAGCTGCAACCAAAGCCGGGCCTGCTGAAGGTTATCACCACACAGACAGCCGAACCCACACAGGCAGGGAGGGCAACGCCGACTATGGATGACTCACCCTTAATTTCGGTGTACTTGTCGTAGATGATGTAGCAGTTGGTGCCGATAACGACCAGGGCCAACACCACTGTCAACACGGCGAGGAACCTGAAGAAGCACAGCGCACGCGAGGCGAGTCCGCTGTCTTCGTGGGCGTGGTTGCTCCCCGCGGCCGCCGGGTCGGTGGCGGCGGCGGCGGCAGCGTCTGCGCTCTCCTCCGGCTTGACTCCGGCAGCCTCATCAACCAACTTGTCGGCCAAGTCAGCCTTAGGCTCTTCGCCTTCTCCCTTGGCCCAGTTCGGCAGATCCGACATGCTTCCTTCCTCCGCCTCGATGAGCGGGGTGTTGTCGATATTGGTCGCCGTGTTCTTCTCGCGGAGATGAAAAATGGTTTAGCTGTTGTGAGCCAAGGGCTGCGTTGCAGGCCGTCGAGATGCAGGCAGCAGGAAGAGTCCAATTCTGTCCTTCTCTCTTTTTCTAGAAACTCTTAAAATCTTGCGTCCCCAATTCCAGGGCGGACACACAATTACACAATTAGGGGAGCGCCTATTTACAAGATTGTCAGAGAGAACCACAGTCCAAACATCCATACCGCTGGAAACCCCGGAAAACCAGCCAGGGCGTCCCCGAAGTGGTTCTCCTCCTCCTCCTACAAAGGAAGCAACAGCCAGCTGTTCATCACACGGTGGAGAGCAGTCTGAAGGTGGCAGCAGCGGCCCGTACGACCCACCCGCACGCTAGGGATACCTAGGAGGTGCTAGGCCGCAGAGCAAGAGGAGGAGACGATACACAACGCCATTACCGGTGAGATGCAGACATGTAGTATCTGTGCCTCACCCTCTGCCGTTGCGTCTTGAAATCAAGTACTTGTCGCAACACCCGCACCGCCGTGTTTGTCGTTCTCTCTGTGTGTTGTGTTGCTGCTTCCCCAATGCGGTCGCTGCTGCTCGTGTACCTGTGCTTTCCTTCGTACGTACGTACATCGGCTATCATGTACCTGTAGGCTCTCCATCGGTTATGCGGCACAGCTGGTTATCTTGTACATACATACAGCAGTGTGGTCAGGCCAGGCGCGGCCAGGCCCCTGGTTGTGTGATCGTATACGTGCGCCTTTGCCGTGTACTCCGGAGTACTTGTATCGTCCTTGTTTGCTGCTGGGCGATGGTGGTGGCTACTGGGCTGGTGCTGGTGCTGGGTCATGTGCACGCATTTGCCTGACCCGTTTACTCCATGTGTCTACCCTCCATGCTCGTGTCGTGGGACCCGTGTCCTGCGGTGGTGTCGTTGGTAGGCATGCTTCCATCTGCATGTAGTGCTGCTCTGCCGACCTCTGGCGGTGCCCCCATTACTGGCGCGGCCGGAGCTTTTCCTATCTACCCCCTCCAAGTCCACCCCTTACAGCAACAACGGCAGCCGATACTGACCTCCAGCCCTCCGCCGGAAACGCAGGTGAGTCGTGTTGGTGTTTGTCACGTGCTGTTGGCGTAACACCCTCTCTTTTTTTGCGTGCTTTGCTTTGCTTGTGTTGCTGTTGCTGTTCCCCCATGGCCCGCATGCCAATAGTACCGGTACGTGGCATTCACCCCGTCCACATCAAGGCGCCCTGTACAGGCCTTCCCGTTGTTTCCGCGGGTGTAGCATGCCAATGGGTCTTTCCTGCTGTGCCATGCCTGGTGCAATTGAACGCGTGCACGTACGGTTCGCTGTTGACGTATGCTTTTACGTATTCTTCACCAGGTGACGGCGAAACGTGTCATATGTTTTTTCTTATGACCAACAATTGATACGGTTTTCTGCCCCTCCGCCGTGTGGTGGGTTTCGCGTGCGAGTGACAGGCCATGCTTCCACCTGGTACTGCTCTACCGTTGGGGACTCCGGCCCCTGGCTGTGCTTCCGGTGCTTCCGGTGCTTCCGTTGCTGGCGGCCGGAGCTTTTGCCGGCTACCTTGTCCAAGCCCACCCCGGACAGCAACAACAGCAGCCGATGTTTACCACCAGCCCTCCGCCGGAGACGCAGGTGACAATGCGCGTAGTGTTGCAATCTGAAGAACGACGGGGAGGCCGCCATGGCATGGGCCAACGACGATGCATGTTTTGTTTGGCCGGGGTGTTACTTGCCGGTGCATTCGCCTGCTCGGTGCTTTTGTACAATGATCCACTTCGGGGATTTGTGTGCTCGGTGCCCCACTGCTGTAGAATCCTCCAATCCCCGAACCACGTGCCGTTGTCTAACCCGTCGTATTGTGGCTTGAACACTAGGTGTACGACTCGGCTGTGTTAAAGACGAAGCTGGAGGCAGTGCAGACGGAGGGAAAGACACTTGAAGACGTGGTGGAGGAGGTGGTGAGAACGTGCGCCATCGAAGGGGTTGTCCTTTCTACCGCGAAGTCGACGAGGTGTCGCGACGGCGGAACGGATCGTGTGGACATGAAGAAGCTGATTTGTACTCGAGGCGGGGGTAGCCGGCAACTGGAGCACGAAGCCAGGCTTGACACCGGTAAGCGTTTCATCCATGGCACTTGGCCTTGGTAGGAAAACCATTGAGGCGACGACAACGGGGCGAGTCGCGGGCAAGCCTGTTGTAAGCATGCATGCTTCGGTGCAGGTTCATACATGACACACTGCCTTCACTTCGTCTCCCATATCGCCGCGTGTTGCAGAACCTGGGGTAATACGGCGGAACAGGAAAGGAAGCGCGAGGACTGGTTGTCAGTTTGAGGTAGGTGCTGGTCTCCCACGGAACATGTTTTTTTGCAGTGGACCGAGAAATGTCCCAACAGATTGCGGAGGTATTCGAGCGCGAGATGATTGGAAAAGGATTTCCGAAGTGCGGATTTGAAAATGGAGGGGGTCGGTCGGGTGTCTTGTGATCCACGTTGTAATCCATTTCACACCTTTTCCCCACGAATCCATCCTTTAGTTATTTCTCCTCTCTCCTTTTTTGTGGACCCACCCTTCCGTTCATTCAGGTTAGCGTCCGGCACGCGAAGTCCCACCCTCGGCCCAAGATTACCAACATGAAGCTCGGGCACAACCACGTAGTCGACCGCCAGGCTATGGCCGTGAAGCTCCGCCTCGCCGGAAAGCTAACGGAGGAGCAGCGGGGACAAGTGGAGAAGATGACAAGTGAGGAGATTGAACGCGTTGGGGTAGGTCTAAAGTAGCTCCCGTCGTGCCCCTCGGCTTGTCGTGGTCGGTTGTCACGATATCGAATGACGAACAGCCCTTAAAGCGTAGTGCTGTTGTCACCTTCACGTTGCTAGCGGGCGTTCGCTGACACACGAGTTGATTTTTGCTCCCGGTTCTCCCATACGGCGCAAGGGGATGAAGCCCAAAGCTGTGCATGAAGCAATCCAGGCGTTACACGAGGACAGCGACATCGAGATCAACAGGCGCGCGGTGCAGAACGTGGCTGCCAGTGTGCATGGGGCGGAGAAGCCGAGGGATGCTGCCGATGCATACGAAGAGGTATGTCCATGTTCCCGTTGAGACTGTTGCCTCTCGTGTGTGGGATGTTGTTTGTTGCTCAGGGCGGTATCCGGGCGACCATACACGCACTATCCCTTGTGGCACTCGGGCGAATATGTGCCGTGACACCAAACCAAGAAATATTGTTCGTTTATTGTCGGCGCCCTCGACATTTCCGGGCGCTTGGCATGTTGTGTGTTGTTATAATCACAATGCAATTCCAGGTCATGGCCGTCACTGCCGACGGCGGAGTGTGCGAGATCAAGATGGATGACAGCGGCCGCCTGACGCATATCTGGTGGCAAACGAGAGAGCAGGTACGTCGCCGGTCGTCGTGCCCCGCACGAATACTCCCCTGCGGGAAAAGGTTCGCTTTCATTTTGTCATCGTGTCGCACGTACCACTTGGCCGTCCGCAAATGCAGAACGTATGACTGAGAGCAGGACGTAGGCAAGGGTGCGGGTGTGCGGGTGCGTTGTGATGCGTCGAACACACGTCACACCCACGATGGAGTGCTTTCGACCCACTTCGACGTCATGCTCCGAATACGCAGATGGCGCTTTGGAATCGGTACGGTCACGTTACGCTGTAAGACGACACCGTCAAGAACAGGTACCGCATGCCCCTCGGCGTGCTCGCCGTCATCGATTCGGAGTATCGGACGCGAATCGTCGGCCAAAGCATAACGGCGGACACCACAACGAACACTTTCGTGTGGATGTTGAAGAGTGCGTTGAGGTCTCGCGGAGGGAAGCAGCCAGATATCTTCATCCAGGACGCGGATGTGGCCATGACGGCGGCGGTGCGCGAGGTGTTCCCGGACGCGCTGGCGAGGCGCTGCTTATGGCACCTCTACCAACACATCATGAAGGCCCTCGCTAAAGACCTTGGCGGGCAGATGAAGGTGTGCTCTACCGTGTGTGTTGGCATGGTTAGTCTGGCCTCTCCTGGTCTCCTGATCGCGCGACGTACACTGCACACTCTAGCCCCCCTACACACACACTACCACTTGTATCTCCTGTCCTAACCCCTGTGCAAGTTCGTACGTTGTCATGGGTCAGTGGCGTTACCGTCTACTTGGAAGAGTGATTTCCAGCGTCCTTGCGTACAATAGGCGCGTCCCGTGCCCACAGAAAAAGCAGCACCAGCAGCACCAGCAGCAGGTCGTAAGCACAAATGGTCTGTCGCTGACCTTTTTCAACCCCGTGTCCCTTTTGCTTCTCGTCTCGTCTCACCTTAGCGCTAAAGGAACGTACGGGGTTGGTGTTGGCAGCCAATCGTACAGGCCGGTAGCTCATGCGCCGAGGCCCTAACTCAAGCAACACCCACCTCGCCTGCTTCGTTCCGGGGACGGTCTGCCTGCTCGTGCTTTGCGCAGGCTTTCATGGACGAGTTCAGGTGTGTGCGTCAGCAGCTGTCACTGGCGAAGTTCGAAAGGAAGTTCAACGCCCTCATCGCCAAGTACCCGCAGACGGAGAAGTACATGCGAGCGGTATACGACGACCGCACGCGGTGGGCGGAATATGTGTCGCCTCTGGTATTCTCCGTGGGTTCGTGGACGACACCAAGAGTTGAAGGTGCGTTCATGCGTCATTTGCCATGAGTGTTTTGTTTGGGAACGACAGCGCATGTAGTGTTGTCATTGTTTTGGGGGGTCGTTCTACGTCTGTTGGGGTTGGGGGCGGCTATCCTGCTTGAGTGGCCCCCATGTACTCTGACATCGATGGGTGCTTCTTCAGGAACCACTGCCCTACATGCCGCTAATCTTAACCACCTCTTCGAAACATCTGGCTGTTGTCCGGACCCTGTTGGTCCGGAATTGATGCACTGTTATCGTCCGGCTCGCGTGTACATACATACGTCGCCATGGGGTCGTGAAACACTCCGTCCATGTCATGGTCTTCTCGTTCAGTGGTTGCCCTCCGACGACTAAGGACGATGTATGATGACACAAATCCCTAACCCACGGTTTGGTTGGTGTGTCGCTTCTTGCGTGTTGGTGCGCCGCACGCACAACAGGCCAAAACGCCCTCATCAAGGATAAGTGCAACTACTTTGTCGGGAATCATCTGCTCCCAGAAGGATGCATCCGCGCGGCGTGACGCTATCGACCACCTGCCGCCTGCTCGAATGGCTACTCCAACCGACGACCGCCTTCAAAAGTGTCTTGGAGTCCTGCGAATTCTCCTTCGCGGCCTGGCCGCGGCGGTTAATGGAGCAAGAGATGACCGCGGCCATCATGTTTTGCCAGATGGATGGTGGGGAGTTGGATGGATCAGAACGCGCGGCAGCTTTGGGACGCACGTTCGAGTACATCGAAGACAAGCTTTGCGACGTCATCTACGTCTTCGGCATTCGCGAACATCGTGATGATGGCAGGACCTTCGACTACCTCGTCTTGCTCTTTTCCGACGGTAGCCATCTCTGCCAGTGCCGCACATTCCAAACTCTTGGGCTATTTTGTCGCCACGTGTGGGCGGCGATGATGTACAGCCCCAGATTCCGATTCCACGTCGGCCTCCTGCACCAGCACTGGCTGACGGAAAAGGCGAGGGGAACACCGCTGCAGGACTGGCCGGATGTCGCCCGGCCTCGATTTGTGGTGATATCCGACCGCCACGCGTCGACAGCGGGAGCAAAGGAGCGCTTTGAAGGGGCGGCGGGAGAAGTGGACGGGGTGGCGGGAGAGGGAGAGGGATGGGGGGTAGGCGGATTCGGCGGGGGGTTGAAGTCTTTCGCTGGGAGCAGTCAGACGGTGCAGGCGGCCCTCTTGGATTTGAAGGAGAAGGAACCCACGGACCAGGAAAGACAAGTGTTGTATGCAGACGTAACGAAGAAGCTCGGGCAAGCCGCGAGTACTTTTTCTGATGAGTTTTAACCGATAGTCGCCGTAGCCCTCGTGGACCAATTTCTGGCGACGGTCAATGTGCAAACAGGCGGGGCAGGTGCTACAACGACGGGAGGCCGGGGGGCGGCTCTCTTCATGGCCAACCCTGGTTCTGTTCGCCTGCCCGCTAGGACAAGTAATAATTGACGGCGTGTTGCTGCAGAAAAATTCACCAGAGGGGGTAGCAAGAGAGCCGCGACTTCGGGGTCCCAACCCTAGTTTCGTTTTTGCATACTCGAAGTACATACCGTAGCGGTACGCCGCCCTACATTTGCGACGTCACCGGTGCATGTGCCTGTACCATGTGTTGTGCCCCCCCCCCACCCAGCGGCCGGTTAAGGCTCGGTGTGATGTTTCATTTTCGCTTCCGCGTTATTGTGCCGATCGCCGTCTGTGATGTTATCGTCCCGAGCCATTTGTTTCATGTTCGTATTTGTATGTCTGTTTTGTTGCTGCGTTGTAGCGTTCGATGGGACCATCCTGTTCCTGTCCTGTTTTCTTCCTTTTGTTCGATTTCCTTTTCCTCTCATTCTTCGTCTGTCCCTTTTTTGGCCGTGTTGGATCGTCTCCAAGGTCGTTTTAATTGTTTGAGTCAGTCTATCATCAAATCGCGCTTGGATATTTATTTTCTGGGTTCCAATTTCTGCGTCTGTGGTTGTCGACCTGTACGTTCTGAGCAGGTGTGAACGAAACGATGCCTGCAGATTCTGTGCCTGGAGATGTTGTCGTTCTGCCCATGTCCCTGTGTGCGCCCGTGTACCAACGCAGTGGTGTTTCCGTGGTTTCCTTGGTTTGACGTCGGGGTCAGAATATTCAGTAATTTACTTTTGAAGTAAAGGGTGCCGTTTGTTCGGGGAAATATCGATAGTTGTTGTAGCCACGACGACGTTGGATCGGGCGTGAACGTCAACGAATTTGACCGCAAGAACGTGACCGCAGGAACGTGACTGCAGTAGACTGAATAACGCAACCTACAACACGTTCTTCTTGCATGAGTTGGATTGCTGCGGGTACACATAGAAGTGTGTGGGATGACGGCAGACACATACATCCCACAGCCCGACTGTCCGCCCTACCTTCTGGGAATAAATATCTTTCTTTTGAATTCACCCCCACGGGTGTATCTTAAAATGCAGATCTGATCAAGGATCCGACAGCGCTTACTGACGAACTACAGCGAACAAGAGGCACTAACGACTAAACCCTACCCGAATCCTGCCCGTACCGACATCCTATAATCCTCTTGGCCCCGTCAACTGTCCACTTCGGGGACACCCTGGCTGGTTTCCCGGGGTTTCCACCGGGATGGATGTTTGGACTGTGGTTCTCTCTGACAATCCATGGATTGTAAATAGGCGCTCCCCACAATTAGTCACCCAATCGCCCCTCCCACATACCCTCTAACATTCCCGTGATATGCGAACCCCCCAGGAGAAACAAAACAAGGGGCAGTGCAAGAAACCGTTTCGAAATCGGCTCACATTTCCAGGACATATGCCCAAAACAGTGGATCGGGGGGAGTGGAAAAAAACAGCAAAAAAACAGCCCGACCGGGAAAACGCCTCTGCAATTTTTTTCACGCTTCGCGCGAAAATTTATATAATACGTCCCCGCCTAGCCCTACTTACGGGCCCTGAGCCAAACAAGGTTTGCCCCGCCACACCACTGCTGTAGGCTCCTGGCCGTACGAAACCATGGCTAATGAAGAGCTTCGCCTGGCTGACCACTTCCCGCTGGTACACAAGTCGTGCAAGAAGCCTGCCTCTAGATTCTTCGAATGCTTCTCCGAGAAGGCTGACCAGCCGCCAGAAGGGGTGAGAACTGTCATCGTACATACCGCTGTACCATCGTCGATGCAACAACCTGGACCGAACAACTTTGGATCACACAGCAGCGTCGGCGAGTTCCATCGCACTGTAAATGTATTCGCCGCACCATCTCAATAGACGGCCATTGTCAGCAGTACCAACAGCAGTAGTCACGCCTTTTCCTGGACGGCACTAGCCTGCGCACACACCTCGGTGGAACGTTAATGTTTAGGAGGTTATGTTCGGCCTGAAATCTTGGAAACATGCGCCCTCGGAAAATATAGTCTACTAGGCATGCGTCCTGTGGAACAACAACAGCAGTCATCCTTGTGTAGCAGGGAGAGGTTTTGTCCTTGGAGACGACAGACAGTCACAAGAGGCAGCGAGCAACATACGTACAACTGCAGTGGGGGTACCCGATCAAGGAGGTCGCCCTGCACAAGACGGGTGAAATTGGCGTGGCACCGACGGAACTATTATATATATAGACTCAAGTTGTTCTTCACATCGAATATGGCGGCTGCCGCGCCATGCTCAGCTGCCTCACCGCCGCGCTAGTGTACTGGTGGACCCCCACTACCACTGTTGTGTCCGAGAATATTGTAAGTCTATCGTAGGTGCATCCGTCAACACGGAATGAAGAGAATGTCGTTACAGCCCTCTGTTGTACATTCTCGCTCCACTTGTTAACGGAAACAAGCGTGGTTGGTTGAGCCCACGTGCTGCCGTAAACTTGGCTTGCAGGCAGGAGGCCTGGCGGTTGGTTGACTCCCTTGGGTGACTTCCTTGACTGATAAGTAGTTTTCCTTTCGCACACCTGTAATGTAGTTACAGGTGCACGAACCCTTTCTACAAGGTGCAAATCCTGGACGATAGCCGATCAGCCGGGCTGAAACGGAGCACCCTATCAGCGAGGCCAAACATACAGCCATCTCAAGCGCCCCCGCCTTTTCGCGGTTGATCGTTTGCTTGTACTTACCATATCCCCTCGCCTTCTTCACGACGCCGGAAAAGGATGCGGCTGCCGCGAGAAAGGGCTTGGCCGCGTGCGCTGGCCTGATGGCCGACTACGACAAGTGCATGTCCAAGGTTCCCGCAAGGCCGCTCATTCGGGTGAGAGAGAATAGGCACAAGCAGACATTCCTGTAAGTTCGGGGTGCAGCTGTGCGCCGCGTGCAAGCGTCGCAGCCTCGGCGCAGCTGTGGGTGTTGTATGTTTTTGTTCCGCGTCCTCTCATGTGGTAAGCGTGTTGCTAGAGTTCGTGATGGCCGCTAGCCTCGTCGTACACCCATTCGAGGCCCGGTGCAAGCGCACCCAAAGGTTCCATGCCGTCGATAGGCTATACAGCACAGGTGCGAGGCTGGGCCGGCGACACGGCCCTTGGTTCTGGTGTGACTTGGTGTTGTGTGCTCCGGAAACGACGAATGTAGAACAACTTCTGTCTGAGCGATTTTCGCCTGGCCAACCCCAGGACTCTCGCGAGGACCCACTTGTCCTTATCCATTCCGCCCCCCCAAGTCGACGAACTTCGTGTGAGCGTCAAGTGGTGTATCCCTGGAAGGAGATGGTTTCTCGGCGTTGTCCGCCCAGTTAGCGTGTGTGCGATGCGTTTGGGTGCTATGATGGATAAGCCCTCCGGAGCCGTGTATTGCGCCCCGGGTTTGCGTGATGCAATGTATATCTTCCAAAGTCCACAGCACGGCATACAAGAGCTGTGGAGAATACCTACATGCCCGCCTCACCAGATCAACTTTTTTTTTTTTTTCAACCGTCAGGTTCAAGAAGAGTACCGTCTTGCCCCAGGCGCCAAGCGGTAACAAATCCGGAAGTTCTTGCTGTGTGTGCAGCACAGGAAAAGTTTTTCTGAGCGTCGTCCCGTGTATGCTTTCAGAAACGACGGCTCCAAGCACACACGTGCCAACGTGACAACAAAAAAATCTCTTGAAGACCCCGGGCTTTCCGGGCTCGGCTGCCCGAGCCACCCGTTGAAGAAAGCGTGTACAAAGTCCGTCGTCGTTCATTGGATGGATCTATTCCGCTTGTCTGTATGCGGCGGGGGGATTGCTCCTGCCCGTGGCCGCCTTCCTTGCCGTATGGGCCTGCTTGCGGGGGCTGACCTACTTTTTTTGCGGGCGGAGTGATGTGTGCTCCTGTGTGAGGGATGAAGTGCACTTGTGGTTGTCTTGTCTGGCGTACTTGTGCAGTTGTGCTTGTTTTGCCGGAGCTGAAGCCGTAGGCTTTCAGTATCTCCCTCTTTCTTCGGTGCTTGGGGGGGTGGGGGTGGGGGGTGACGCCAAACCGTTGCTTGTCCTAGCCTGTCGACACGGATAACCGTTCCTGCTCCTCGTAGAGACACGCCGACGTTCGGGCGCTACTTTCGTGCCCCCTGCACGGGGAACCTCGGTTGTGAAACGGGGTTTTCTCTGGACTGGATTCTCGCTGGTTGCGTCATGAATCACTGGGCTTGGGAGTATTTTCTCGCTGGCTGGAAGTCGCCACCATTTTTTTCAAATATGTTGCTTTGAGTTCATTCCATCCTTGACACGTCTGGGTATCTTTCAACATGTGGTGGTGGAAAAAGTGACGCTTTCGCTAGCGTGTAAATGAGTAGATTATTGGCCCGTTCTTCGACGCGCGCGACACCGGTGCATGTCATGGTTCTTGGGAATGTCGGTTACTGAGGAGACCACACGCTCCAAGGAGGCCATCAAGTGGTTGCCTGACTCTCGAAATTTTTGTTTGGGGCTAAGTTTTTCCGGCTGTAGTCATGGGTAGAAGCCCCATCCTGGCCGTAGTTGTGGATTGCAGCCCCTGATGAACCAACACGCTGAACCCCTCGGGGGGAAGACATGGCGTCACGAAATGTGGCAGCTGCTGTCTCCAAGGAATTGTCAGCGTGGCGATGCACGTGACTTGCACTACAGCTGTTTGCCAGGTGTGTTTTTTTTTTGCAATCTGTTCGCCGCCCATGATACACGAACATCGCAACCCGGATCTCGACCGCGTTGAAGACTCTCAGAGGGGTGTCGTTTCGTGTCACCCCGGAGCCAGGACGGCGGGAGTAAGAAGGGCACAATGAACTCAAGAAAAGATGATCTCGATTACCTGGCGGCGTTTGTGGGTGGGTTCGGGCAGGAATCTGTTAAGGGCAGGCCCCAGTGCGACAGGGAGTGGTCCAGCTGAGGGAGGATGCGGGGGGAGTGGTGGTGAGAACGCGGGTGAGGGCAACGCCCCGACAGGTCGTTGGGAGATGGTCCCTGTCGGTGGTGAGTTTACAACGTCAGAAGTGCCTGCGCAGGACGTAAGGGACAACGACGGTTACCTTCCCCGACCGGTTACGATGGCTTTCTCGCTGTCGGTTTTGGAGGGGGCTGGAGTGTCTAGCGGGGGTGGCTCTTGAACAATTTTCCGAGGCAGAAGGTGAAAGTTGGTCTGTCCGTGGCGTCGGCTTGCGTTTCGTCATATACCGTTCATGGATCAGGACTACCATGTTATTTATGTGCATGTCGAAGTTGGCGTGGACCATTCTTCTAGCCACTAGGAGCGCCGGCGTGTTGCGCACCTATGCCGCGTAATAGATTTTCTCGAAGTACAAGTCTTGTGTATGGGTGAAAACACTGGTCGTTCTCCCTAGCCGGACCCATGTCAGTCAGCGGGGATTCTCTTCGCTGCCGTATTCAGCCGAGAGCGTTGCAGTGGCGAAGTGAAGTTGAACTGCGTCCAGTTATTTCTTGGTGTTTATTGACAAGGAGAGCATACAGCAGTAACCATCCCGAATGTCTTACAACACCGGTAAACCAACCTGACCTGAAGTAGCTACCTTCCTACCGCCCGGGACAAATCATCCTCAAGGCTGTGTTGGTGAAGAATCCGAAGTCGGTCCGATACGTG